TTAAAATATATACTGCTTTTGATAGAATGTTTGATACATGGATTCACCTGTTTGCAAACATACCAAGAGAACAATTTGATGAAAATTGTGATTTGCTTGTTAGACCTTTTATAGAATTCAGTTTTGGTGTTAACACAACTGATACTTTAAAAAGTGAAAGAGGTTAGTATATAATATACTGCTTTAAACCATGAATGCAATGTTTTAACTAGTATGTTTTTGAATAATATATATAGAATAGAATAGTATATAAAATTGTTGTTGAGTATAATTTAAACTAGTTGATTTGGTATTTAGCCTTGAGGCAAGTTACATGAACTTCCCGATATGTGTAAATAATCGACTTAATCAAAAAAAAAAATGTGTAAATAATATACTTCATCAACCTACTTTAAAAAAAACGATAATAATTTTAGCAAACTTTGACAAATTTTTAAATTAAACTACTTGTCGTAAGGACGTAATATTACAGTAAGTTCTATAAGACCATGATGTATATCGCCAAAAAAAGTTTCATGAAAATCGGCTTAATTTTTTTTTCAACAGTTAATTACAAGAAAACGGCTCGGTAGATTTTCACCTAAAACTAATCAGTATCATTCCCAACTAATATCTTTCGAAAGGTTTTTTGATTTTTTAAATCAGTTCGGTAGGATGAGCTTAAATGTGGACGAAAAGTTTAACACTTTTTTTCAACAGTTAATTACAAGAAAACGGCTCGGTAGATTTTCACCTAAAATTAATCAGTACCATTCCCAACTAATATCTTTCGAACAGTTTTTGATTTTTTAAAATCGGTTCGGTAGGATGAGCTTAAATGTGGACGAAAAGTTTAACACTTTTTTCAACAGTTAATTACAAGAAAACGGCTCGGTAGATTTTCACCTAAAATTAATCAGTACCATTCCCAACTAATATCTTTCGAACAGTTTTTGATTTTTTAGAATCGGGGTTCGGTAGGATAAGATTAAATGTGGACGAAAAGTTTAACACTTTTTTTCAAATTGCAAAGAAACGGCTTGGCAGATCGTCGCACAAAACTGACAAACGATAGTCCTCACCGAAATACATCAAATGGCTTTTAAATTTCTAAAATCGGTTCAGGCGTTTTTGAGAAAACGTCGATCAAAAGTCTAATTTTGACAAATGCCAAAAAAACGATACCAATTTTTTCGAACTTTGACGAATTTTTAAAGCTGAACCAGTTGTCGTAGGGCCGTAATATTTTAGTATGATCTAGAAGACTATGGTATCTACCGTCAAAAAAATAATCATAAAAATCGTCGAAATTTTTTTTTTGAAAACTTTATTGCAAGAAAACGGCCCGGCCGATCTCTACCAAAAACTAATCAGCACGATTCCCAACCAATATCTTTCGAACAGTTTTTGAATTTTCGAAATCGATTCAGAATTGCGGGCTAAAACGTAGACGAAAAATTTTTCACTTTTCTGCGATTTATAAAGAAACGGCTTGGCCGATCGTCGCACAAAATTAACAAACAATAGTCCTCATCGAGATACATCGAGTGGCTTTTAAATTTTTGAAATCGGTCCAGCCGTTTTTGAGAAAACGTCGATTTACGGCAAAAAATCTGTTCACATACACGCACACACACACATACACACACACACACACACACACACACATACTTTTTCCAAAGTTGGTCTCATTCGATTCAGAATGGCTTGAAACGTCGAGAAAACATAAAATTAGCAATTCGGATTTTTTGAAGAAAACATAAACTTCTCCTTCGGGAAGTTAATATTCAGTAAAAGTAAAACAAAACTACATAAACTAAAAGAAATGAATAGTTTTTCAGAGACCATTAACATATTTTTTCATTATTGAAATATAAACATGTAAATTTTGCCATATGCATACATATTATTTCTCTACAATTTGATTACCTTTTGCAGCTAGTTCCAAAGATTTTTTTTGTCTTTGTACAAATGGTAGGCCACAGTTGTGAAGGGGAAAAATGTTTATCACACAATTCCACTGCAATTCGGTACCACATAAAATAAATGGATATTTGGCTTCCTATAAAGTTTTTAATACATATTGGAAAGAAATTTACAATGTTCTGGTGATATGATCAAGAATTTAATGAAATTAAATCCACTAGAGTACAAGTAGGTTTAATAGTGCTTAGGTGCATTACTATGACAAAAATTGAATTATTGAATTAATAATTAATTGTAATTTAGATGGTCTGACATTGCAAGTTGTGTTTGGAGTAGAATGTTGAAGCTAATAAACATGCATTTTTTAAACTCTGAAAAAATTTCAGAAGTGCAAGAGGAGTTGCTGCGGATTCTAAGTTTGCTTGTTGTGGTAAGTGGTTATTAATTCTTAATTATTTAAAAAAAAAAGAATTTGGGTTTTCAAAATTTTTCTACTAACATTGAAAGTTTGTGCTATTACCTTTTTGCCTCCAATCGACAGTACTATTGTATCAAATATTAAATTTTTAATAAAATGAAGTAAAAGGTATGATTTCAACTGCAATATCATTTATAATTTTAGCATTTTTATAATTTATAATAAAATTTTTAAATAGTTACACATTTACAGAAGTGCATTTTGTTGAAATACATTTAAAAAGTTTTTACTTTTGTTTATATACTTCTGTAATATAAACATGATTAATTACTTGGCCCTGATAATTTGAGTAAATACTTGCATGTGAAATGGCTTTATTTTTTGGTTGCTCGAGGTCATTTTAAAAATTCTTTATTTTTAAATCTATTTTTCTGATAATGGTTCATAAAAATAGATGTCTTATGTATGTATATTTAAAACCTTGGTATTATTTCACCATTTTCAGTTTCTAGATAATTATCTTCATTGCCATCATTATGTATTCTCTCTCACTTTCATTAAAACTTTGGTTCATTATCATTAAATATTTGGCCTTGCAAATAATCTTTACCGAAACTTGGTATTTATATCTCTTTATACAAACTATAATGAAATGAATAGAACACATAAATACCAAGAGATACATGTTAAATATTGTCTAAACTCAAAATGATATTGTTTTAGTAATCTAAGGAAAAACTTGATAAAAATGCTTAGATTTAATAATGTTAATTCTATTGTTTTTATTATTTATTAATATATGCTAGCAAAATATATATTTTTGCAAGTAAATTAATAAGTTACACCAAATTAAGTTAACTCGTTATACTATATTTATTTATTTGATATATCTTATCTAAACTTAGATGTCCCAAGGCAACAATCAGTTGGCATCTGTTTGTCTTCAATCTCTTTTAACAAAAACTGCTGAAGAATTTTCTCAGAAATTGAACTTCAAAGAAAATAAATATGAATTCAAATTCATAGATTTAATTACCCTGCCATGTATGGTGTCATGTCTTGGAAATGATTCATTGTAAGTATTCAAATTCAAATGCTTCATTAATGTGCATTGAAATCTTGACAATTTCATTAGAGATTTATGAACTTGTTGTAAAATCAATGCGATAAAAAAATCAAATAACTAAAAAATATATTTAGTTGTGACCAAAAACTTTAGGTCATGATTGCTAATTTTTTATTTGAACAAAAATCTATACATTAATAAATGTAACATGAGTCACTATTTGTCATTGCATTTAATAATTACTTTAATTTTTAATTGTAATTTCAGAGTTCCAGTCTATAAGAATTTGTTATTAAATTTTCTGAGTGATGTGTCATCAATGAAGTTTGCTTGCAGTAAAATTTTAAATTTGATTAAAAATATGACTGCTGAAAACTCTGTTCCGAATATTACATATGATCTGTTTTGTGAGACAGTGGTTGACAAAATCTCTGCGGCTGGTAATTTTTTTACCAATAATATTGAGGATATAGCACATATTTTAACACAGTTTATTGTGTTTCCATTTGAACATAAAAACTATTTGAAAATGGTGAGGAATAAAATTATTTTTATATGCTATATTTAAGATCATATTTAATTACAGACTGTTACAGTAATATATTTAAGATTATAAGTTATTACAGACTATTGATCAAAAGATATTTAGAACAGTGGTCAGGGAACTTTTTTAATCATTATCCCAAAATATTTTACCCTCATACAGGCAATAGAGATTACCACCATATGGGCAACTACATAGCAAATACAGTAAATATCAATTAAAAACACATACTTTTTACCCCCAAAAATTCCAAATTTACCGCATTGGGTGTAATTTACTCTGGTTTCCGGACCACTGATTTAGAGGATCATAATATTTCATATTTAACAAAAGAATTGTAGTATTTTATTTATGAAAGAGTACAATATTTATTAATTTTGTTAGCAGCAGTTATCTTTGTGGTTTTTGGTAAAAATTAAATTATTTTTTATTAAGCATTTAATATTAAGCATTAGCTTAACTTAAGCTTAAATTAAGCAACATTTAATAGCTATTTTTAAGTTAAAAATTTGTAATGATTTCTGAAATTCAGTTATTATTTGTAATAATTTGTATTTGTAATATTTACATTCTTAACACTGTTTTGTATTTTAGAAAGATAACACAATAGAAAATTTAAATATGTTGCATGCAAAATGCTGCTCAGAAAAGGTAGACAAAGTTGTCGCAGCAAAAATCAATGCTGAAATTGCCGTAAAGTTATATTCAACAAATGTAAAATCACCTTTAGACACATGTGAAAAAAGGCACAGGAAGAATTTATTTGTTCTTTGCAATAATGTAATTTTAAACATTTTTGCTACAGTGTTGGAAAGGATAGAATATGGTATGTCATGCAATTTTAATGTAATTTAATTAAATACATATGGTAGAATTGTTTATCACATTATCCCTGCATGAAAATTTGATGTTTTTAGTTTACATAATATGTTTTAATTTATCATTAAAAATGTTTGCTTAATTAAATCAAAAATTAAATATTTTTTATCATCTCTAAATTGTGAACCTTGGTTCATGTACTCAACAAATTGTTCTAACAATGTGAAACTTTTTTGTATTGATAAATTGAATTAATCATTTATACATCTTTCTAAAACTTGTAATTTTTATCATTTATTATTTAATAATGTGGCGTGATAAGCATTTCTATAAATTAAATTATCTGTGAATGCTTTTAGTTAGTATGTTTTGCCAATGATGATAACAGTGAATATGACAATTAGTGAATTTTTGATAAAGTGTTTTATAGCTCATCGATGAAAACCCTTGCATTGTAATCTTGACAAATTCATTTGAGGTTTATGAATTTGTTGTAAAATCAATGCAACAGGAAATTCAAATACATACCTAAGTAGCCAAAATTGAGAGTTTTAGATTTTGGTAACTTTTATTATTTGGACATTTTTATAATTTCAATGTGGTTTTAGATGAGCTTTTATCAAAAAATATATTCTGCTATATGTGATATTTCTTTAGTAATCTGAGGCATATAATATATGTTTGGATTTTAAAAATTTTGTTTCAAACTTTATTTGATGATTACACTATTTGTTTTTTAGATGCTGAAAGTATTTCCATATTTTTGAAATTGTGTAGTCAGATGATCATTTTCATGAAGAAATCAAGCAATTCTGTTTTTGGAGAATTTCAATTTGGAAGTGAAGATTTTGAAAAATCCCTAATCACCATAGAAAGATTATGCTCGATTTTGAAAAGCTTGAATGTCATTACGATAGTAAAATGTTTACAAGAGTTTGTTGCTGTATTTGACAATATTTTAGAAATTCGAGAAATTTCTGAGCTTAGTAAATTCAATGTATCTGTAAGTACTTTTTCAACTAGAACACTATTATATATGAAAGGCATTACTAATTTTATCTTTTTTTTAGGTCACAAATACAGTTGATGATTTATGCAAATATTATATAAATAACTATCAAATAAAACTAAATGAAAATAAAAGTTTTGATAAAGTATTGAAGTCTTTTATACCAATTTTCAAGAAATTTGCAATTGATGATAAAAATATAAAAGAAATAAGTGCATTAATTCAAAGGTAAAATGTAAAGATTTTTTTTTATCTGGGATTTAATTTACATTTTTATCGATGCCAATATGTACCTTAACATTTGTATGTTAAAAAAAAATAAATTAAAATAATGTTAGTAAAACTGCAGTCTTAATAAGTACTTTCATTTTACAATTTATTTTAATATTACTATTACTTTTTGTATAGTTAGTTATGCAGCAGGCTTAAGTCTATTGCATAACTAAATTAAGTCTTGCCAATTTAATTTTATGAATTGAATTGAATTATCATCATCTAAACCTGATGTCATCACGTAGATTAATGATTTTAATTGAAAAAGGAATGCAATGACGAATTAAATTCAACTAAAATTTTAATTTGTGGTTTTTAAATTTGTATTACATTTTTTATTTATCTTTTTTAGTGGTGATACACCTTCTACAACTCCTATTCGCACGCCAACAATTTTTGGAAAAAGCCCTGGTTTGATAAATTCAAGACATTCTCCTAATTGTGGTACTCCTAAATCAAAGAAATGTCTTGAAGATGATTTTATAGTTGTTCCAAAAACACCAGTCCGAAAACCTCAATATACTGAGAAGCAAAAGGAAAAAATGAAAGAGCGCAGTGCTGATATTCCTTCTTTGTATAATGAGCTATCACAGCAATCACAGGATTGCTCCTCCATTACGACTAATAATACTATTTTCACACAAAGCTGTCCTGAACCTGAAAATGTGTCTATATTAGAATTATCTACTAGTGAGTTTGAGAAAAGTGAACTTGATAAAAATACTAGTAAAACTGGTAGTTTTTTCAACAATGAATTTTCTGATCTAGAAAGTGGAATAGAACATTTTGATAAATGTCATGAATCTGTAATATCTAATAATAGTGTAGTAAATATATTTATTAATAAAAGTAAATTGGACGACATAACTAACAAACCTACGCCTGATGATCATATTTCATTAAACTGCAAGATTGGAAACATGAATGGTGGAGTTGTTGTGAATGTGTGTGATATTGATCTCAAGAAAAATGTTGAAAAATCACCTGATTTAATATCTGAATTGAATGATTCGGATAAGGAAAAGAAAAGTAGTTTAGGTAAACATTCAAATTTCAATGGTAAAAATAACAAAAAAAGAAGTAGAGATGTTTTTGATACAAGTGATTCGGATTCTAACAAGTCGAATCATGATAGTAAGAAGTATCATATTGATTCAGAGAAGAATTCTGAAGCAAAAAATGGTTTTAATAAAAAATCTCCGTCAACTGATAAGTCTAGTTTAAAAAATAATAGCTTGATCACCACAGGAAATACTGAAGAAAAGAAGAATGCAAAGAAGAAACTGAAAAACAAACCTCATAATGATTTGAAGAAAAATTCTGAAAAACAAGCAACTATTGATAGAAAAAAGACAACTAATTCAGAAATTAACACAGAAGTTTCAAAAATTGACATATCTCCAAATAGTAACAAAAAAACACAGATCAAAGAAGGTGAAGAATCTAATAGTAAGAAACATTCTTTGCAAAAAGACAATAACTGTTCAAGCAAGAATAATAAAAAAGAAACAAATTCTAGTGGTGAGCAACATCTTAAGAAATCTAGCGAGAATAATTCAGATGAAAAGAAAAAGTCAAGAAAGCATAAAATAAGTGAGTCTGAATCATCAGAAGCAGATTCAGTCAATACAGGCTCGAGACGATTGCAATTTGAATTAAAACGAATATCAATGGACATAAAAAATAATGAAAATTTTGTTAATTTAGGTAACAGAAGATCAAAAACTACACCTCAAAAATTACCTTTACTAAGAACAGGAAAAATTAGAAAAGTAAATATTGAAACTAAGAAGCTCAAAAAACCTACCAACAACAATAAAAAAATGAATAAGAATAAAAATGATACCAGTGAATTATTAAACACAAGCAATAATTCAGATAATATTGATGAAATTGAATCATTTGAAGAGCCTAAGTGTGAAATAACTGAAAATGATTTGAAAAACAAACCTTTATCAGATCAAAGCAAAGTGCTAAACTGGTTGGAGAACTCTTCTAAAAATGATGAATGCGATTCGAAAACTAAAATAGTTTCAAGCAAAACTGTAAATGATTCTGCTATAGAGGAGGACAATATATCAACATTAAAAAATAAGAATATGTCTTCAAAAAAAGAAAACACGTTGATAACGAATGAAAAAAACATATTAGTGACGAATGGCAAAAAATTATCATCAAAGGAAGAGGAAAATATTCCAAAAAAAGAAACACATTTATCACCTAAGGTTGAGAATTCATCTCCCAGTCCTGAGCATAATTCTACATCAACAAGACAACAGAAATCAGATACCAATGGCATGGAGTGGCAAAATATGACACCTAAACAAAAAAATGAGATTCAAACATCTACGCCTAGGCCTGCAAAGGGTAAGTTTATAATTATATTAAGGGGAAAAAGATTCTAGTCTAGAGGCATGTATTTCATATGATTTTTGAAAGGCAAACATATTTACTATCTATTTTGTTTATAACGTATTAATTAATGTTCTAAGAATCTAGAAAGAGATTAAATATTAAAAACAGTCAAAAAGTTTTAATTCTAGCAGCTGATGAAAATATCAAGTAAATTGGTACAGTAGAAATTGGTACAGTAAAAAATTCAACTTTGAATATATATACAAAAAAATCGATTTCTTAAAGCTTCTAGACTAGAATACCCTTTAAAAGCAAAAGTAAATATTCACAACTTTAATTTTTTTAATGAAAAACTATTCATTGTTTTTCATTTTCATTGATAATGGAAATGGAATGTTGCTTTGGTGATATGAGCTAGATTGAGATAATTACAAGATTATGATCGCTGCACTATATTTAATTATTTTAAGTATCTAAACATTTTAATTAATTATCTAAAATGTGCATGTATTTTTTGTAGACATCATTAGCTAAGTTGACAAAGACAATAAAACAAGAAAATTTAGATAGTCTTCGAAAGACAACTCTGAATCTGTTTTTTTTTTGGTAACTTTCAATGTTAGTATTCGCGAAATAATCCGATTTGCCATTATGTTTTTTTGACGTTTTAAGTCATTCTGAATTGACTGAGACCAAATTTGGGAAAAGTATGTGTTTGTGAACCAATTATTGACCTTTCATCGACGTTTTCTCAAATACGCTTGGACCGATTTCAAAAATTTAAAAGCCATTCGATAGTAACTAACTCGTAACTAGCAGAAAAGTGTAAAATATTTGGTCTACAATATTGAACCGATTTTAAAAATTAGAAATAAGTTCATAAGATATTGGTTGGAAATTGCGTTGATAGTTTTTTTTTAAATATTGTTGTAGTTTAATAGTTTGTTGAGAATTTTTTTTTGGCGATTTTGATAAAACTTTGTATGACGTCTTTATGTATCGTCATATTTAATGAAAAAAAGGAGTGCGCGTATGGTTCACACGTGATTAAAGTAAAACTTATTTGCTACTGTACAAGATGGCATTTAAGTAAAAATAAATACATCATATAACAATTTTGAATAATGTTTATTAGTAATATGGTAACACTTGTGATGCACACATTTATTAGTGTCAATCATTATACACATTTATATAATGATAAATTATGAATTATATATTTATAATAGCATTAAAAATATGTATAATATTTAAAAACAATAATGTGATTAAAGTCATACTTCAAACATCACATGATCCGTTTGTCATTGTAATTAGCATTTAGAAATGAACCTTCATTAGATAAATGAAGTAATTGCTGATTAATAAATTCTATAATATTCGTTCACACAGTTGCATTCGGATGTACACTTATTTACACCCTAGTCGCGACTAAAGAAATTTTACTTCAATAATAATTTCGACCATCACGCCACGAATCACAATCTACCTTTTCTGGTCGAAATTATTTTTTCAATATTAAGTTTGCTTTCGATTTATATATTTATTCTTTTTCACTAACATTATTTTTGTGAAGTATTTTTTCATTAATTGTTTTTATGTGTGTTTGTATCTTAATTTTCGAGTTTTGTCCACTGAGGAAGAGTCAAATTCGGTCTCGAAACATATGGATCTATAAAAATTATTTTAAGAAACATATTTTAGTTTGTATATTATATCCAGCATATATTATATTAGTATAATTTGTTTCTTTTTAGACACAGTTGCAGATAATGAAAACATAATTAAAGATACTGATGATGATTCTGATAATTTCCAAGAATCAATAGAGATGGTTGGTAGTTCTCAAGAATGTCCAAGTCAAAGCTTATTCTTCAAGGAAGCAATGAGAATTAATTCAAGCGTGCCTTTTAAACATACTGATTTAAGGCAAATTAATCATACTAATGATGAATGCAAAGAAGCAGACACTAAATCAGGTGAAAAGATTAACAATTATAATTGTAAACAACGGGGGACACCGAGCGGCGGTAGCAATCTGAAATCCACATAGATTCCACATGCATGTCACATTGCTGAAGGCAAGCTTGTGGATTTCAGGTTGCTACCGCCGCTCAAATCACATGGTGTTTACTGGCAACTTATTGGTATATTAGAAAATCAATGCTTATTATCATTACTCACCGACTATTCTTTATATCTCAGGAAAAGTAAAAAATTCTATTCCAATGATTGTCTTACATGATGCATTTGATCTAAAGAAAGGAAAAAATGGGGTTAATGAGATTAATGAAAATGCTGGTTTGAAACAACTAAGCTCCTTAGATACCAGCAACTTAAATACATCCAGAATTATAGCCTCGCCTGAGCAGGAAGATGCTGATGAGCGAAACAATCAGCTTCTTAATAATACCTTAGATATATCGCCCATAAGAATAGGTGAGTTCCAATATATAATTTTGTACAATTTATTATTTATCACAAGTCTAAATGGCATCCTATTGTCAACATTGTATATAACATTATCTCCTGTATTAATTAACACTGTATGTGCTTATTTTTGTAATCAAAATTTAATTTTACAGACGGACCTGTGCCAGAAATACCATCTGCAGCAAAAGAATCCGCATCAACAGAGTTGCTTGTTCCAAGTGCACAAAATAATTTACTTGCAATGAATAATAGCAGCAGCCCATTAACACATAGGTAAGAATTCTAAAGTAGGCCTAGTAATTATAATCATTAATTAATTATATGTAAATTCGATTAAAACTAGTTGTAATTAACTTCTCGTAGGGTAAGTTATAGTAATGGGCCGAAAATCGAAAATGAAAATTTTTGCATATCTTTACGTTTCAAAGGGTTCTGAACATTTTGGCATACCTCAGAAAAAATGGATGTGTGAGTGTGTGTGTGGAGACAAATTTTCGTCGACGATTTCGGGCGTGCGGATTATTCGATTTGAATGGTTTAAAAAATATTTGATTCCTATTAATGAGGAGACGTGCTGATTAGTTTTTGACAAAGACAGGTTCAGCGGCTTTGGAGATATGGAGGAAAAAGTGCTAAAGGAGAATGGATCAACCGATTTGAATGATTCAAAAAAAACATTTAATTCGCAATGATGGGGAGAAGTGGTGATTAGTTTTGGCAAAGGCAGGTCCAGTCGTTTCGGAGATACAGAGCTAAATGTGCAACAAATGACAGTTTTTGAGAAAACCATGAATCCGATTTGAATGATTTCAATGAATTTCTGCTTGTGTTGACGAAATGATTGCTTCTGGGGAAAGAAATTTTTTTTATTTTAATTTTCAAAGAAAAAGATTTTTTGAATAGCTAAATTAGAATTAAAATCCAAATTATTTTTCGATAAAGTTCTAAACTTATATATAATACTTCAAATGAATATTTTTAACTTTGCGATTCAGTTTATATAATACTTAGAAATATTAGATAATGTTCTTCATTTTAAAACGGATTGATTAAGTTTTGTTTATTTACTTTTTAAAATAGAAATAATGAAAGTTACATTATTTATAATAACCTATTTAAAAACATTTAATATTCCTCGAATATTTAATTAAGGTACGGAAGTTCCAGCAATTAGCCTTAAGGCACGAAGCCATACCCCACTAATTTGGTTCTGTAATTAATAGTCCTATTTATCCTATTTTGGTACATTTTTTCTTTAATTTTCAGCTAACATATCCAAAACTGTTTTATTTAATATTAAACAAATAAAAATGTTTAGTGCAGGGGGAAGTAAAGCAACACGAAAAAGATTAGCAGTGAATGTGTTATCTTTATCATAATTTTCATCAGATAAAAAATTTTTATCATAATTTTCATCAAGATATTATTATTAGAGGATCTGTAATAATCTACCAATACCATGTCTTATGATTTTGATGTAAAAAATGAACCAAACAATGAATCAACAATTTAGTAGTGTATGCATAATAGACAAAATGCATAATTTCAACTGTAAACTAACATATTGTGTAATTAGTATTATGTGCCCCTTAACACAATTTTTTTTTAAATCCAATATTTGTTAACTTATTAAATCAATTATTTTTATAGATCTCGCTTACTATCCTCGTCTGCAAACAAAGGACCCAAAAGTCGTAGCGCGCACATGCTTGGCTTGTGCAACCGCGAAGCCCCGATAGTTGAATCTAATGGTCCATTGCACAGTCCAGTTACAAAACAAAGAGAGTTGACATTCTCAAAACATATTGATTCGCCGTCCACGACGAATTTGAGAGCTGCTAAGTTATTAAAATTATCTGACAAAGATTTGCTGACATTTAAAAAAGATGTGCCTTCTCCCCATGCAAGCCCTTCTGCTAGTATTCTAAAAAGAGGGGCTAAAAGAAAACTGGCTGATGATGTTGATGCAGATATTCCACCTAATAAGGTAAGTTATTGTATGGAACATTATATATATATATATATATATAGAAAAAGATGAAGAAATTTTTTTTTTTGGTTTATATTTGAAAAGGAAAAATTTGATTTTATTATACAACAGTAATGAATTTATTTCAATTATAAAAATGAAGTGTTTTTTAGTTGAACTTCTCTAAGTAAATGAAAGTGAATCCGCAAATTATCCGTTTCATTGAAGTGCTCTTTGGTAAACTACATTTTTTGTTTTTTGGTCTGACGTTAACACAAACAAAGCGGATGGTTTTACAACTCGTGAAAAGGCAACGTATAACTGCCTATGTGAAAAACAATGATTTTCTAAATAATATATTTGAAATCGTTTGAAGTCAAACGGAAGACCAGTCGGAATTATTGGTATATCACCAAATCGCCAGCAATTTTTGATTAAATGGTGAAATTCAGGGCGTGTACATCATTATTCTTTGCGGCAAGAATTGCTCGTTGACTTAACCAAGCATAATTCAGATAATTCCTCCTAATGTTATTACTCGAATTTTTAATTACGGTGCGTGAAGTTCCAGCAATTTGCATTAGGGCACGATGCCATGCACAACTAATTTTCTTAGCTATAAACCTTGCGGAGCCCGAGACCTTTCCAACGAATGCAAAATTGTCGAAATCGGTTCGTGCGTTCTGGAGTTCTTTCGTCAGGAAGGAAAACCCGACTTATTTTTATATATATAGAAGATATATATATATATATATATATATATATATATATATATTACATTAAATTATATATTGGGTTGTTCGGAAAGTAACTTTGTTTTAATAGTACTTTAATAAATTATGTATTGGCTGTTTTGGTCGAACATTTTTTGTCATATTTCTGGTATTAGTATAATAAATTTTTTGGTCGTTATTGTCAAAAAACTGACCAAAGTGCTTTTTGTTTTTCTCATTTGAGGTAAAGGTTTTACTGCCTAAAAATTTTTTTAGTGACTGGAACAAATAAAGGTCTGACGATGGCAAGTCTTGAGAATATGATTGTGTCCCATTTAAGCTGCAAAAGCTTTTGACGATTGACCAAACTTATGTGAGGTCTTACGTCGGCTTGATGCAATACTATACATTGCTTTTTGGTTAATTCTGACCTTTTCTATTGAAGAACATAATTTAGTTTATTGAGCTGATGTCATAAGGCATCCGAATTAACCGTTATGTTATCCTGAAAAGCCTGAAAAACGAACACTTTTAAAATCTCACTAAATATACTGCGTCGCCTGCGTTTTCTTTGCAACTGTTTTGAGCAGGTTTTTCTTTTTTGTTTCATGAGTATTTGCGTGTATTGTATTCTTTACATCCCATTCGACATTTCTAGTTACAATTTGCTTCAAAACCTGATAATTTTTAGGACTTTTCAGAGGCGAATCGCGGAAGCCAGGGCGACGGTACAGGTTTCTTTCTATGAAAACCATACATTGAGGTTCGAGGAAAATCCCAGACCTTTTAGCTCATCATGAACTATTAAATTTGATGAATTTAAAATCAATGGGATCGCATGTATTGTTACTCGCGGGTTTACATTAACTAATGCCTTTCTTGGGTCTTTATCAGCTTCAACCGTACTTCTTGGACGTGGTGCATCCTGGACATGTCGTACTGTCAACACGTGATTTCCACACACATCGGTCACTTTCATTATGACTTAAACAGAATTTTTACCTTTTCTATAGCAAAAGACTAAACCACGTCGAAAATGCTGCTTAATTCTGTATTCAAAGTGGAACCATCCAAAAACTATTGCTTGTAATTGATTAGAATTTTTTACACACAAACTTTAAAATATAAGCTTTCAAATCATATAATAATTATAGGGCTAAAGTGTGATACTAGGTTTAAAAAAATGTATTTATATCTTCTGTGGTAAAAAACAAAGTGACTTTTCGATCAACCTTATATTATATATAGTACTTTTCTGCCCTTGATTACCTTTGATTATTCTAGCACCTGATCAGTATATTTACTAAAATTTATATAATATATTAAACTATACACTGTTATTTTTACTAACTGTGCCATTCCTATTTTCAGTCAAAAAGAGTAAGTTTCAATGATCCAATATTTACTACAAAGTATCTATTGAAGGAATCAGTCTCATCACCCCAAGATGTTGACAATTCCACCCCCTGTGTTCGAAAACAATTGATAGCTGATGAGAAGTTTGTCATGGACCTCAATAATGACAACATGGAATTGTTTTGTAAACCAATTACAGTAGAAGATGAATTTTCTAAAGTTACAGTTCCAGACTCTGAAGAAATTATGGGTATTGAAAAAGAAATTGAAATGGAGAAAATTAATCTGGCTGAACAAGAAACACAGAGCCAAGTTGACACTTTAGATCCTCTGGAAGATAATGTTTTTAGTGAGGAAAAAGGAGATACTGAGACACAAGCAGAGAACAATACTGTAGAATTTTCTCCTACCATAAGATCAAAATCCATTTTTCCTGAATTATTGACTTGCTTAGATCCTGTTGGTGATTGCATTGATAACATTGTCTTGAAAACAAAACCAGAAGTTGTTCAAAGGTTTAGAGAAAAGTTATACACAATCAGTGATTTAGCTCGCTTAACATCAACAGAAGTAAGCAAAGCGCCACTAAGATCTCCAAAAATTGCTAATCTAAAGCGAGTTTTGCGCAATTATGCAAGAAAAATACAGAATTCTGAGTCAATGTCAGACAAAAATGATATTGAAGATGAGATCTGTGCTGATGTAGAAAAATTGCAACATAATGACATTATTGAAAATAGTAAAAAAGATTGTGAAGTTATGGATAGTGATCTTAAAGAAATACCTGATTCTGAATTAGTCTCTACGCAAGTTTGTGAACTTCTAGACAATGAATATGCCAAACACACTGAAAATCACTTGCAAAAGTCAAATGACTTAAAAAGTAATCAAGAACAAGAAGATCAAAATATGTTAGAGCGAGTTTCAGAAACTCAAGAAACTGAACCAATCCCTCATAGTTTACTTGTTACAAAGAATGTTATCAAAGATAGTACTACAAAAGAAAAAGGAACATCAATGTCAGATGACACATTTGTTTTTGATTCAATGGTGTTGAAAGAATTTTTGCAAAAACATTTTGACTCGAGGCCTCTAGAAACGTACGAGATAGTACAAGATCTCATTAAAAAGGTGTTAGAAAAAACGTACAAATAATATTAATTATATTTTTATGTTAATTATATTTTGAATATACATGTGTTCAAATTGTATATAAACTATAATATGTTTAGCAATATTGCCTGTATATAAAATATGTTTAATATTTATATATTTTTAACGGTGCCATTTTATGTTATTGGAAACGTTTGGTGCTCAACGAATTATTTAATAAAATTATTTTAATATATGTGTTCATCATTTTGTTAGAAAATTTAAAATTGTTACAAATCTATCTCAATTTTTTTCTACTGTTTTCAAACTTGTGCTCGTTTGAAAGATCAGCAAACTACAATATCAAATAACCATGTGAATTTCTTCTTATTATTATTAATTAAGTCTAGATGGTTTGAATAAATAAAAATGTATGTATAGTTCTGGTATTATATTATACTGTGGTATAACGTACTATATAGTATATATACTATCAGAAAAACCAAACTGGAAATTAATTAAAATATGTAAATGATATAGTATAATAAAAGTGCAGTTTTTATACAATTTCAAATTCTATGAAATATTTTTTCTATTTATTTGGTAATAGTTTTACAAAATAAGTATCACACTTGAATCCAGTTATTATTTGAATGATAGCGAATGAAATAAATAAATTTTTTAGTAATATTTACTGGCTTGTTGGTTCAATCATTTATATTTGAAATATTTTGTGAGATACCTTCAACATAAGTTAGCCACAACCAATTCTGGCACTCATGTTCTACCTGAAATACATATTTTGTGAATTGAGTTTTTACGTTTTTGTTTTACGTTAGTCTTAGAGACTTGCTTTAGGAGAAGCAAAAACAGCTTTCCAATTAAGATGAACTGTTTTCGTTCATTTTTGAAACTGTTTTGGCAATTTTTTAGAACTGCTTTGTAAAATGTAAAATATGTTATTATGTGCCTATATTATTTTCTATATAAAAAAAAAACAAAACAGGATTGAATTCAGATTTCTGTGCCCATTCATTGCATATATATATAGTACCGCCCTAGGCAAAATAATAGTACATAAGTACATCCCAGCAAACCTTTTTGTACCTCACTTTCATCACATTTTTACAAAAAAAAGTTGCGCCTCCCTTAATTTTTCTAGCAATATAATTTCATATATACTCAACTGATATTATAATTTAATTATCTACAAATTATGTGACACAAACTAATATACTACATTATGTGAAAATATACATAAAATATTATTTATCTATTCATTTTTTTATATATTTTATGATTTTTGGTTTATCTTAGAAAATAGCATTTTTCTTAATAAAATTTTGTAAATAGCTATACGCTTCCCTTGTAACCTCTTGTATACTCTTACTACTGTATACTCTTCTTTTATCTATGCTTGTAACAGCCTCGCGTCCCAAAAGTTGAAAACCACGGTACTAGACAATAAACAAAACAGCCTGATCAGAGCCTGATCATCCTACTTAGCCTACCAGACCAGCCTTACCAGCTACCAGTATGAAAAGCAGGATTGCAACCATATGTAAATAAACATAACTACAGCAATGCCTACTTGCTATGCAACTACAACTACCTTCACGTCTTAGGGGGCAACCATTAATCACGTGAGGATTTTAGGGGAAGTGGGGCTTTGACAAAAAATCACGTGGGGAGGGATGGGTCTAGTAAGTTATCACGTGTATTTATTTTTTACCTAGATTTTTAAAAAATAAAAGAAAAATTTTACTTATATTTCGTATAAATTCGTTCGAAAAAATTTACGTGACTAAAAATACACGTGATGTTTGGTGGGGGAGGGGGGTAATACTAAATATCACGATGTATCACCAGGGGGGAGAGATGGTCCAAAAATTCGTAAAAAATCAATCACGTGATTAATGGACGACCCCATATAAAACTATCAAATGAGATTTCAACTTGTGGCGAGCATAGCTCACTTAGTAGCGTGTTCCATTCAAACGACAGGGATCTTCGGATCGAATCCTATCATTGACTTAGAATTTAAGTAAATATATACATATAGTTAATTTGTAGTTGAATTTAAAATTAAATAAAATTGGATTTGTAAAGTAGAAATTGAAAAAAAATTAGGAGTAAGAATTGAATTTACAGAATTCGAATAGCTGAGTTGCATTAGGAGTAAGAAGAAAAAATGTTAAAACTGGCTGAGATTAAAAGAAGTATAAAGATATTATATAGAAGGAAGAGTGAAAGGAGTTGAACAGAATTTGAAATAAAAAAGCAAAAATTGATGAGAGAGAATGAAGAAATCAAAATTGAAAATAATTGAAAAAAAATAAGAATAAAAATAGGATATATAATATTGAATATGATATAAAAAATATAATAATATAGAATGTATTTACATAAAATGTTATAGGTGGCTAAATGCTCAGAGTAAGCGAGGCCAAATAAAATTTAAAAAAAAGTCCAACTACAGCAAAGCCTACTTGCTATGCAACTATCTTCACGCCTTATTAAACTATCAAATAAATTTCGAGATGGCAACACTGCCCTCTCTCACCGCGATTCACGAGCGTTGTCGGCCATATTGCTTCTAGCGTTTAAGAAAACAGATCAAACATGAACGCTCAGACAAAAGCACAACAACAACAAGTGATTTTTGGTGGTTTTAGTTTCGATGGCGATTCTTTGCCCGATTATAGTGAATTTGACAGTGAATCTGTGACATTGGACTACCACAAAGAAAGGTCTGTTAATTCTATTCTATTTTGGTTATGCGAAAAGTATTACTCGGCGCATATGTCTAAAAATAACACACTTAACCTTACAATCATTTTGATATCTAGGCCGCGTATCGTTTTGATTCGACTTTTTAACTGCTCATAAAAATGTAACTATTGTGTATTTTGATTATTTTTTTAACGTGCTGTTTTATTTATTTTTATGTTGCATTTATTTACATTTTCATTTGGCAGGTGTAAACATAACCTTCTTAACACTGTGCGTCATGTTCCAGTCAACAATAATAAAAGTAAAATATCAATTAATAATGACATTTTACAATGCCTTTCAAATATGTATTTTCTTTGAATAATATGATTACAATAATTACATAGATTTTGAATAATGATTTCTATTTATGTAAGTAGTGCTCGTACTTCTTAAATAAAGATTTAGCACTTAATTGCCATAGAACTTACAATTAGTTACTATATTTTATTTAATTATATACATGCATATATTTTCATGATTTTATTTGGCTGAAGTGATTTTATTTTTTGTCTCATTATTGTTAAAATTTTCAATGAAATTTAAATTATCATTCATTATTGTTAAAGTTGTATAGTTTGAGCAGTTGAAAAGTAAAATTATAAACTAGCAAGATGTACAGGGTGTCCCAGGGTGGGTATAGGGTGTTAAAATCATATAAACTGGGTGATAGTATTGATCTTAAATGAGTAAAGAAATGAGTAAAATTAATTATCTCACATTGTTTGGAAATTATAAGCTTTTGGTCATGTAGTGATGTAGATGGAAAACAATTTGAACACTTACTTTAATAAAAAATGGTATTTTGCTATGTTACTTTTATTCCATTACCTAAACTAAACGAGGTCTAGGAGGAAGTCTAGGTCAAAATTATTCATTATTTCATTAACTTTTTTAATTAGGAACAAAAGGATTTGAGTGTGTTTGCAATTATGGGACCATTTTTCGGTTTTTATTGTTTTACTCGAAATTTTTCAATAATAAAATTATCAAGCATTTTATTATTTTACAATCTTGATTGAATGCGCCAACTTTTGATAAAACTTTTCAACACTCATTAGTACATTTTTTTAAAGAAGGGCCTGTCAAATTTGACTGATTTTAGAAATTTTAAGTTTTTCGCTCAACAAAAGGGGGTTAATTCTTGAAAACAAGGCACAATTGGAGTATTTTTTATGTGGTCCTAGAAATGTTATTCACAGTCACCGTTCAAAAGTTTAAATAAACAGAATTAGTAAAAATTAACCACAAAATCCGAAAATTGGTCATAATTTTACCCAAGCTCTAGGTTGCACTTCAAAGCTCATAATTTCTAAATTTTTTCTGGACTGAAATCACCCAAGGCTTTGGAGTCAAAGTCTGGATCACCCTGTAGTATTTTGTTAGTATTAGAGAAATACTTTTGATACTATTATATTATTCTGCAATATTATATAATGCAGCCAATTTTTTTATTCAATGAACTCAGAAATGGTCAACATATCACTTGCTAATGGATTTTAAATATCACACTTTACAATTTTTGAAATGAATGTTTTAAACCAGGGTTTCTTAAACTTTTGTCCTTCGCGACCCCTGGCGACCCCATTTACGATTGCAAATTTATTGGCGACCCCACTTATGATTGCGAGTTTCTTGACAACCCCACACATTTAAAAAAAATAAATAATATTTTAAATGATTTATTTATTTGGTAACAATATACACATAAAAATATATAATTTAAGAATTATCCATATATCATACTGTAAAGAACTGTAATCACTGGATGCAGATTTTAGCCTTTTTTTTTTGTTCAATTCTATGTCATTCAATTGATTTTATATCTCTTGTAGATAGATGATCAAATAAAAAATAATAAAAAAACAATAATTAAGAATTCGTTATAAAAATTTCTGCGACCCCAGAATTTTCCTACCCAAATGGGGCGCGACCCATAGTTTAAGAACCCCTGTTTTAAACATTATTTTCCTTATTTTCTTTATTTTTAATCTTAAGTCTGCACAGCTTTCTTTTCTACCGATGTCTGACTTTCTTCAATTTGTAGTAAATTCAATTATTGTTAGTGAAAGTATTAAATAACGATTTGTACTTTTATTTCTGTTCGATTGTAGATAAAGAATGAATAGTACGACATTAACCTAAAATGTTTGTATTAATGTATTAGATTTTATTATTTACTGGACCCCAAGGTGTTTAAGGAGAACAATATTATAATATAGTTCTCCTTTTCCGAAAAATACTATATTTTGTTTGTTACTTCAACTTAGTTGTCAGTAAAATTCACAGAGTTATGATTTTTTTTGAAAGACTATTTTTCACAAGGTTTCCGAGCATTTTTCAGATCTTTAAAACTTTTTTTCAACTTCAAAAATGCATGCTGTCGCAATGTTCACAGCCCGAAATTTATATTCTAACTAACTGACTCGGCGAACGTTGTTTTGCTAAGTAATGTATATTCTAAATAATTTATAGAAAATCAAAAATATTAATACTTCAAGTGTATAAGGGTGTGTTGTTTGAATGCTATATACAATGAGGTATTATAAAAACAATTAACCCCATTGTTTGTCTATATTTTGTCAATTCAATCAAACTGGAACTTTCATACACTTTCTATAGAAAACGTGGTATATTTTAATCCAAGTCTTTTTTGGTCTTTCGACTTATTGTTTACGTTTCAATTTTTTCAGATTCTTTTTAAATTCTGGATTTTGTGTATAATTGTAAATAATACTACTGAGCTTATACAAAATTTTCAAATTTCTGCGAGGAGAGATAGAAAATGAATTAAGCATTCTTTGACCAGCTTTTTGAGAAGTTTTCAAGTAACATTCAATGAATTAAAGTAAATTCAATAAAAAGTATATGTGTAGAGCAGGGCGAGGCAGAAGTGTCCAATTGGACTTTGAGCAAACATTAATTATATTATAAAAATCAAACCAATTATATCACAACAATTAACACATTTCAAACGAACAATTATCTGACTACGTTCAGTAAAACTATCAGCTAATTCATCATTGTAGAAATGTGCTTTCTTGCTGTGTTTCAAAAATTTGTTATCTAAACCTTTTTACTCCATAGACTGGGTAACTTTGAACTGCCAGGCGGCAAACAGGTTTAATGTCTTTTTTAATTTTAAGAGTATTTTACAAAATAATTACACTTTTAACTAATGCTAAAAACTACCAACGGAAGAAAATACTTTTATTATGGATATTTAAATATTAACGTTTATCTCCCGATCATGAGAGAAATGGATCATGAGAATCAAGGTTATAGCTGGTTATACATCTTTTTCCCTCTACTTTCAAATATTGAATTAAACAATGCTTAACTTTACTGGTTTTTAACACATGGCTGGTGGACCTTTTTAACCCCGGACCTTCATATATTACTATCTATTCTTTGATGAATTCTAGGAAATTATAACTGGGAAAATGCTATTCGACAAAATGTCTTTTTGATCGATACCAAATTCAGGTTCTGAATTTAAATATCATAAATAAAAAATAAATGTGTTATAAATACCAATGAGTATATAATTATACAAATGAGATCTTTCAGAGCACCTTGTTTGAGAAAAATATATATAATAGTCTGAGGTATATACGTGAAGGGTTAAATCAGTAGTTTCCAACCTCTGGTTGGCGCCTCTTGGGGTGTGGGGGCGTACAGCTGTTTCCAAAATACTATTTTCAAAAATTATGACATAATGTTAACACACGAAAAATAATTACTTTTTATTCATATTTTTACATATTACTGCATAATAATTGTGAGTATGATAATATCAGTGGAGTGTTCAAGAAATGAAATTGTTAAAAAAAATAAGGAGAGCGCAGGATTTTTTTTATTAGAGCAGCGGGGCGCGGGGCGAAAAAGGTTGGAAACCACTGGATTAAATATTGTTGAAAATCAAAGTTGCACTTACTTTCATGTAAGTAACGATAATATTCCAGAATTTTAAATCTAAGCAAGATTTTGGTAAATGTTACCAAAAATAATTGTACTTGAAATATCAAAAATCATTCTTTATTTTCTAGTGAGATAAATATATTGGTTATTAATCTATTTATTCTGATTAGATTAATTTTATTTATAAGTTCTTATAATTAGATTTTTACTTTACTCTTTTTATGGGTTTATTGGCCTTATAAGCAAAATATACAACGTTGTGAATACATTGTTCATAATTGTTTACTAATCGGATGATGAATTATTTATTATTACCATCGGATATAAAATTTCGAATTTATTCAGGAGAAAGTTATATTTTTGTATTTCATTCTCATTTATTATGAAATTAAATATTTATTTCAACATTTTTTACACTAACATTTGTTCTATCATTTAAAACACATGAAATCAGTTTATTTAAAATGTATTCTCATTGAAATTACTACAAGTGTCTTGCGTTGATGTATGTTTTATCTCTGAAAACACTTTACGATTTATCACCATTCTCATATCTAATCTTTAATTTGAATATTATCAGAAAATTATTCGGGCACGCCTTGGTACTACCTGTACAATTTACTCATAACTTTTAACTCATAAAATATTTTCAACTTCCCGCAGGGTGAGTTATAGTAACCGCAAAAAATCGAAAATAAAAATGTTTATATCTTATTATCTAATAGGACGGTTTTTAGCTAGAATTCATTTGTTTTTCTTTGGAAAGTCATTTGGAAAAAATGAAATTGGTCAATGAAAAATTATTATCGAAATTGAGGCAGATAAGCCTGGTTTCACTAGATCTAGTTCAGTCATTATAGTAAGTTCACCTTGGCATTCGAGATACCCAGCTGTAAGTCTGCCAATACTTGTATTTGCACCCTAAAAGTTGTCTCAAAACCTACATATGGTAGGGTGTACACATATAGGTTTTGAGACATCTTTAAAATACAAGTATTTACAGACTTACAGCTGGGTATTTCGAATTCCGGGATTCTTACCTAATTTAAGCTTAAAT